GCATTGTTCTAAATGTGTATTTAAGTACAAGGCAGAAATAGAGCAAACTATTATGAGATTGTCTGACTTAAATAGCATCTCCAAAATGTTTCTCAAATTCAAAGCTTTTTTATGGCCTGGTTACCTCTGGTTGGAACAATGAGTGCTGATGACAAATGTTACTTGGAAAGGAAATGACATCCATACCCCCTTCATTTAAAGATTAATTCTATGGAAAATCAACCCACTTTTCTTGCTCTGACAGTTTTGGCATTTGCCTACCTAGAACATTCTCCAGAGGCTACAAAACAAGTCCATTAATCTTGCTTGATTTCTAGGGCACAGGAAGGGGCGGTGTGGTCCAATATATTAATTTACTCCGTGGCCTGTATTCAGGGCCCATTAGAAGGTCAGAGGTGCCTTGCTGTTTCACACCTGTTGGTGGCTGGCAGCTAACTGACACCGACAGCTTGCAGCTTTCTAGTCTAGAAATGACTGAGATGGCAACTTGGAAATCCCTGCTCTATGATCAAAAATCCCTTGCCTTCTTGGGAAAAGGTTTTGCAGTCTGAGACGTAGGCATGCATGCACCAAAACTCTGTTGAGATGACTCTGTTTTGAGCTCCAGCGGTACCACAGCTTAATGCAAGAGCTTCTGTAAACTCGCAGCTCGGGAAGGGATGGTCAGAGGCCAGACAAGGACTGAGAAAACAATTCCTTACCAAGTCTGAGGCTTAGAATGAATCGTCTGCTCCATCTCATCTGCAAAAGTGTGTTTGCTTCTTTAATGCTTAATGTTTAATTAACCACTAAGTCCTTTATGATTAATTAAACTTTAATTAAGTCCTTCAATGCTTTTCAGTTACAAAAGAGGGTTTATCACCAAACAGGAGTGTTTTTACTAACCTAAATAGACCTGGTGTTTATGACCATGGAAAAGTACCTCAGGACTAGATTGTATACAAAATTTTTGGTGTACAAAGAAGGGAACAAGGGAGCTGCACGCTTTTATTAACGTGTTATTAATAGATTGTGGTAATTGAACTAGATTAGCGAGCATTTGGTCATATTCTCAACTCAGGCCAATGGAAAAATGTTCACTCATTTTAGTAGGAGCTGTTTCAAATATTCATTAACATTAGCTTTGTGCTTCATCCACAAAAAAATGAATGTGTATGATACTTAAACCGTCCGCTTCCTTTCCCCACTGTTTGAATATAGAGTCTCCCTAACAGAATGAATACAATATGAGAAATGACAAATAATGTTGTAAAGGAGAGTATGAATTAAAATCAGTGCTGGGCTCTATATTTATGCACTTCAGTGAGCAGGTCTGGGAGTACAACAGAGGAGCTCGAGTATTCATCAGCTTAATCTTAAGAAACCGAGTTCATAAGCAGTAGCAAAAGAGATAGAATGATAGAAGGGTGGAACAAGTCCTTGCATTTCCATGAAAATAAACTATCTTAATATCTGTTTCCTGTCTGGGTTGCAATGCATAAAAGCCAAAGAGAGCTGCCAGTTATCTGTTTGGCCTGAATAAAGAAGAGTTCCATAATTTTTGATTGAGTGCTTTTCTAGTTGTTTGTAGCTGCCGCATCTAATTGTGCTTGTGTAGTCCTTTAATTTGCATGAAAGAAGATAATATAATTGAAAAACTTGGGAGTAAGACAAGTTCAGATTACTAGCGGAGGCAAGTTAATTTGTTATTCATTAAATGCTAATGAACCTGGCACCTATGTTTTATTTGTTTCACTCTGTTTGAAATTGGAAAGGTCTTGTAGCACAGCTAAGTCTATGATAAACAGAGGTGTTAAATTAAACTCTTGTTTTCCGTGATGTTCTGCTAGAATAAGCAAGTTTGTAAAACTAGGTAACTAAATATGTGTGTAGTGAAGCATACTCAAAAGGTAAACGTAAAATAGGTAAGGAGCTGATCCTGTATTCAGATTCCTTTAAGAATCATATCTGAGCTTTTCAACCTTTTGGGGCTTGGTTTTGATGTGGTTTTTGTACAGAATGTACAGATGTAGAATGTGGTGGTGCACAGAGGCTTTTGTAGTGAATCTGGCACACTCTGCCTTTTGTATCTATTCTTAGTTGTCTCAAATAAGAGTAAATGTAAGAACATGAAATAGTCTTTTATTATCACCACTGCTCTGGATAATGCCACATAAACAGGTAAAATGAGATCTACGGTTGTTCATAGAAGTCCTAGAGGCATGCAGAAATCTATGGTTTATTTTCCCTTAAGCTGCTAAAATGAATTGTGAAACAACTATTTGTATTCATACAAGTTATAAATTATTTTGGCTTTAGTGTCTTTTAGTTAATCGTTTAAAGTAAGAATAATGATATTTAGCATTGAGGGGTAAGTGATATGGCTCATTTATATTACTAGATTATTTACAGTGTATTATTAAACTGTAGAATAAAATAAAACTTTTTTTTTTCTTTTTCTTTTTTTTTTTTTTTTTAATTCCAAGGACTGTTTAATGTTTTTCTCTTCTGGAAAGCAGCTTTCCTTTTCTTCCTAATATTTATTCATTGTACCTTTAAAGTATGGGGAGCCTGGAAAGTAAATTCAGCAAAAGCCAAATTGCACGTTGTACGTAAAACATATCTATGACTTAGAAATATTGAAAAACGTCTACAAACACAGGTCCACAAATCATCTTGCCTGTGCACAGCATTGCTTCTGCCATTTGTCTGAAGGATTCTTTGTGGTTTTGAATGTGGAATAAAAGGAATAAGATAAAATGTTATGTATCTCAATTTTGACATCCCACTAGTTTAATTCAAGATTAACAGTGTGCACAAATTCCAAAACATATGTATGGTTGGCCTTGCTTTGATGAAATAACTGTGTGTTGACTTAAAGTTGGACAGAAATGTGGCTTATTCTACTTGCGTTGATCCAGTAAAATAGTATGAAAAATGAATTTATATGAGAAAAAAAAAAAATTGAACTGTGAAGTAATTCATGTGAAATGTATAACTATTTTATTTCAGTGAAATTTAAGGGTATTTCTGCTGGTTGCAACAAACTTGAAAAATTGAACAAAAACAAACCAACCAACCAAACAAACAAAAAAAATCCAAACACTGAAATGTATGCTTTTAAAATTCAGATTTCCTATTTTTATTTACCACAACATCTCAAGAGGGCTTAAGTGATGTTTCCTTTCATATTGCTTGTCAATGGATATTACTTATTGCTGTGTCACAGGGTTTGAACAAATAATATGCAATTTATATATGTGAAAAATATGGTACCCGAACTGCTTTCACAGTCAGTGCTTTAGACATGGATCTGGGATATCCACATGCTGTATTGCAGAAGTTTAACTAATATCTGTTAAATGAGCATCTGTTTGGTATCTAAATTTTGTTCCCATTATATCATTCTGTGGGGTATGCACAAATGATTGAGAAATCAGATTCTTAACTATTTTCACGCTGTTTAATACTACTTCATGGTTTCTCACCCTCCTTTTATTTACACATGTCAAAATTTAAGTTTTCAAAGATCTAGGTGCATATATATATATATATCAGTTTATAAGTTGCCACAAAGATACAGGTTGCTTCTTATTCATTCACTTCTTCTATAAAGAAACAGAAACAGAAGGTTAATTTGAAAACCAATCTTGATCTCCAAGCTAACCTGAAAAACTGTTGAGGGAAAAAAATTAAGTTGATTAATTTCAATTGTGATTAATGGTATGTGAAGAAGAAGAAAACCAACAAACAAACAAAAAAAGGCAAAAAACATTGCTCTAATAAATTATAGTATTTGGATCTTTAAGAGATTGAAATTCTCCAGGTCCAGTTCTCAAAGATGTGAAAGACATCAATTTTTAAAAGCGAGTCTCTCTTCTTTTGAAGCCTGTTCTTCATACCATGTGTATCCACTCGATTATGTAACCTCTAACAGCATCATTTTGCTTTTCTTCCACTTGAGTCCATGATGGGTATGCTGCTTCTTTGTATACATTCACTGGCTCTATGTTTTCATCTTTGCAAAAGGGGAGATGGTGGCTGTCCTAGCGACTCAATAGAAAAAGAGAATACATTTCCAAAATGAAATGCAAAAATGGCCACATTATTGTGCTAAATCAAGGAAATTGTTATCTTTGCCTTTTCTAGTCTTCTGAAGCAAAAGCAGGACAAATGCTTTTGTTGAGAGAAGAGTTCTGCTCTATATTGTGAGTTTTTGTAGAGGTAATAGCTACTGATAACACATGTAGGATTTATTTTATATTACTTTCCCATTTTCTGAGACATTCTGGAGTAATGTTGCTTACCTGTAAGACTAAGCAGGGACCTTCAGACAGCTTTAGCACACCCTAGTAAATTCGTATCACTGGGGCCTCCTGATGCTTCTGAACCTCCGTGCTCCTAATGGTGATGCTCATTGTGACTAAATTCATTATTTAAAAATGAATATATAAGGGCAAATGAAGACATTGAGCTTCAAGGGGCATCAATCCATTAATTTCTGAACACTGAATTAATGGAAAAATTTAAAGATCATTCTACACAGCATGTTTGTCTGTATCTCAGGTGATCCTTTTTGGTTTTCTAAAGCAGCAGGTCAATACTTTGTGTAATTGTACAGCCTGTTTCATTCAGACTGGTGAGTAGATGGCTGCTGCACGTCTGCAAGTCAACTCCAGAATTGCTTAACCATTTGTTAGGGTATGCCAATGCCTGAAAATGTATCTGGGCTATATAAAGACTTAATCCCTGATTCTGTAATTCCAGTGGTTGTTTTCCCTTTGCAGACATATATTTGTGAATTGTGGAATTGGGTATTGCAAACTGCAGGATCATGATTCGCTAAATAAGGTCATTCATCTGAAACATTTGTCAGATGGAAAGCATTTCAAAGCACATGCATAGTGCAATGGAAAAAATGTATTAAGGATGACAGAATCATTTAATTATTATCTTTCTTAAAGAAAATTACATACATGACAGGCGTTTTTTGTTTTGTTTTGTTTTGTTTTTTTTATCAGGTTTTGAGTTAAGCAGGAAAAAAAGAAATGGAAGAGAGAATATTTCCCTTGCTCTCTGTTTCTTCCTCTCATTTTAATGCATCTCAAGACTAAAACCATGATTTTCAACAAATACTTTTGAAAATGGAGCTCATGAATTGATGTCAGCAACCAGTAAGTGAAAATAAATAAAGTAATTTATAGTTTTGCAAAGCATTATCTGCTCAGTTCAATGGTTAAAAAAGTAATAGTTAAATCTGAGAGAGGTTGTAAGCTTATACAAGCTCTTACTTGGGTTGTTATCTTTTCAAAGGTCCTACTACAGGTTATTTTTCTGTCTTTTTTTAGCTAATTTTTTTTTTTTTTTAATCCAGATGTTCATGCTTGTTTTAATTAGGATACAGAAGGCCTACTTGTCATCTAGTCCTCTTGCATTTCTTGTTTCCCTAGATAGGCCTTTCCCTAGACAGTTTCTTCCTCTCTGTTTCTGTGTTACTTTCTACCTGGCCCTTCATCCCCAATCCTTTTTTTCAGTGAAAGCCTTCTCTACTTATCAGTCTTAAGATGGCAACAAAAATATTTGAGCTTTTGAAGTCTGAGCACATAAGTGAATTCAAAGAAAAGAGTGGAATGATCTTGTAATACTTGTGAAGTATACAATTATTTTTTTTTAATGGTTGGGTGAAATTGAACTCTACAACTTCTATGAGACTTAAGTTCCTAAGTATTCTCTTTATCAAGAAAACTGTTTTGGAGATCAGATTTTTATTCTCTATACTTCTATGGCAGTGCTTAAAACAGCCTAAAACATTTGTTACTTCTGATGTACTTTAGCATTGCTAGGCAACAATCTGCTTGGGATCATGAAGCTGATAATAGGTAAACAGTTTATATCTGATGAAACTGAGTAAATATTTCTTTTTTGTGCCACAAATATCCACCTTCATCTTAAGTTACACTTAGTGCTACTGCAATTTGGTAGTGTATGTGAAGGTCATATCACAATCTATATTAAGGAATATACATGGCTGATAAACTGAGAAAATATGAAATTATTAGCAGAATATAGTATTAAATTCAAAAGTAAGTACTGGTTAGTGACATTTATTCATTGGAATTAGATAAATTAAAACGGTCTGTTATGTTTTGGAAATTATCTTGATTGGCTTTGTAGTATGTAAGTTTTCATTTATCCATTTATGAGAAAATTTGCTTAACTTTACTAATCAAAGTTTACAGTGGTGAGCGAGACTTGATTATCATCAACTATCATCTCACTGATGCTGTCAACAATTAGAAAGATAAACAAATGTTTGAGGCAGTGATTTAATTACTGCACATCCATTTTATTAAGAAATACAGACCATTAGTACTTGGTTATTTCTGGTCATCACAAGACTGCCCTGAAAAGGCCATAGTTGTAAGTCTCAGCATTAAAATCTGTTAATTACAAACACATTAATTTGTTTTGCAGTTTTTCTCTTGCAGTCTTCTCATTTTCTTAATTATGTTTTGTTGTTGGTGGGTGGTTGTTTGTTTGTTTTGTTTTGTTTTGTTTTCCCAAAACTGTTTGTACAGTATCATTTACTTTGGTCTATGAGGTCTATGATGGTTAAGATTTTTTTTAAAAGTAGTTTTAATCATTTTCCTCACAAGTTATGCCTAGTAGTTAGATACTTTTAAATTTTTGAATGATTGAAAAAAAAAAATGAAGAAATAGAAAAATGCTATTCAAACAGACGTTTAAAAACAAACAAACAAACAAAAAATTATGTCCTTAAGAGCTCTAATAATGACTTTGGCAATATTTAGAACTTAAGCCAGATGCTCAATGGTTTTAAATCAGTGAAGCTCCACTGGAGTCAGACAAGAACTAAGATGTATTACTATGCATTACATTTGTCTGTATTTTCTACTTAATTTCCTTAAGGTGATAGTGTAGCAACTTTCATCCTTTCATAAGAAGGTATGGTGCCTTTTACTGCAAGTAATACTCTTTGAAGTAAGGGCTGAGTAAGGGTACAGCTTTCCTCCCCTTACAAATTGACAGTAGCACAGTTACTTGAAAATAAAAACAGCAAGGGAAGAGAAATGATGTAGTGAGAACATTTGCTATCTGCCTTAATTTGGGGAAGTGTATTTTCTGACTTATTTTTAAAAACAAGTTATCTCATTTTAAGTTGATTTATCATTTTAGCTCAACAGCCATCAATGGTCCTACAGGGACTCTTTGGTTGCTATAGACGCTTTGTAACGTTGTCTCACCTTAGCTTCTGTCTGATCAGACTCTTTGAAATCTCTATATGAATTTTACTAGGGAGAGTTATAGCTCAAAAAGCATAATGCATTCCATGCCTGAAATGGAATTGTTGTGCATAAACTCTCCTGTATAGGTGGAGTTGAAAACAAGCAAACAAGTACATGGGGGTAATGCCACAAATGTGGTACCAACACAGCTGTGGGTTGGTGATCTGTAGGTACGACAGGACTGCTGTCTCTCCATTGATAACAATTCCAGAGTTATTTGAACATTAAAAAAAAAAAAAAAAAAAAAAAAAGAGAGAGAGAGAGAGACAGAGAGAGAGATGATTTTAAAGAATTTTGGAGTTAGCATCTATCTGTTCAGGCAAAAATTATTTGTGTGTTCCCACGGCTGCCGTTCTGCTCAGTTAATCTGTGTCTATGTAGGCTGATAAGGACCCTGTATCTGAATGAATTCAAGGAAAAATAATTTACAAACAGGAAGAGGATTAACGATGCTATACCATAAGGGAGCAACAAACACAATTACTGTCCTCAGTAAGATCAAATATATACGGCTTTAATTTCAGCCTTCTTATCCAGTAAGCCCAAACTTTTTACAAGTTTATTACAGTTCTGGCCTCTAAAACCCATGCAGAGTTCAACTGCATCCCTTGGGATAGCTCAGCCCTACTACTGAACTGAACAGATAGTTGCAAACATCTCTGGAGTGCTTCCTCTCTGAAGACAGAAGTAGCACTCAACAACTTATACCCATGTTTTTGAAAGTGCCAATGGGATTATTTTTGCCTGCCTTCCTTGCAACTTTTTCCATATCATCCAAAGCTATACATGGTAGACATAAAACACAAATAGGCTTTACCTTACTGGAGTTACATAAAGGTAATGCCATGTACCAGGTTAGGACTCACCTGATCTTAGGTCACTGAAAACACTTTACTGGAAAGGTCTGAATTAGATGCCTTGTCATAAGGCTTTTGAGACAGAACTTGTGTAAACAAACTTGGGTAAATAGTGTCTAGGGGGTAATTTTCTCTCTTCCCTCATTTTCCCTACAACATCCTTAAGCAGCATGAGGTCTTAGTGGGTACAGTGCCACATGATTTTAAGGTCAAATTCTGCTGGTGGTTTTTTCTTTGGAAAGCACATCTGCTGAGTCGCTTACATTCATCTCTTGTGACCAGGAGAGATCCCAGCTCTGGTGGTGCTGCTTGATTTATACCATGGAAGAAAAATAGCTCATACACATGCCCTTTACTCTTGTCTACAGTATATGTACAGGACTGCAAGCAGAGAACTTCATCACAATGTCCCCAAATCTTCTATTTCTCCTAGAAGTATCTATTTGTTTATTTGCTCTCAAGCCAAAAATGCATTTTGTATTCTTACATGCTTCATTCTCAAAGGAGGTCCTGTTTTTATTAGCAAGATAAGGATGCCATGAGAAATAACTTTAATTTTGCTATTGCAGTGGCTAAGATCATGGCCTTCAGACTCTGGGTAATTTAATATAAAATAAAACTCAGCATTTTAACCTTAGATGAATGAGCAGCTTCTGCTCCATCTGCAAAGAAACAAATGCACAGATCTTCTCTTGAATTCCTTTGTTATTGACTAAACGACACTAGGATGGAGTAGCAGTCCTGGTGGCTTGTAACAGCTTATACCATGACCTCTGTGTTATTGAAATGTAGTTGTTACAACTTCCATATTTTTCTAGCAGCTTCTAGTCTGCGGTGGCAGCTCCTTGAATGACCTTGCCTGCTCCTTTGGCTGCCCACGCTGCTGACTGCTGTGCTGTTCACAGCAAAGCCTGCAGTTCTGGTGACAGATTTCTAGCACAGATTTCTGACATACTGGCTTGCCCTCCTGGACATCATTCTCTTTCATTCTCTCTGATTAAACAAAAAAGGTTGAGAGGAATAAAGAATCCAGGATTTTGACTAACTTCAGCTCTGCTAATGCTGAAACACAAACGTGGAGTTTTTATAATAATGGAATAGAGAACATTTTCTCCTTGTAGCTAATGAGACATCTCATGGTGTTTTGAAGGAAAAGACATTTCTTAACCTGGTAGAACTTTGTAATTAAACAAAACCATGGTCAAATCTCCAGAAGGGGGAGGGGGGAGGAAGAGAGAGGGAGAGAAAGAAGTACATAATAAAGTATGTATTCATTCATCTGAGGCAGAAAGAAACAGTGATGGTTTCTTGTAGTATGGACCTTAAGTTTTAATGTAGCTAGTATGCATATAGGTAATCAAATAATGCATAAAATCCTCAGATGTCCTTTTTTTTCATACATACATTTGTTTGTTTACATGTTCATGTAAGTATTTAACATCAGGATTGAACAGGAGTGTGCTGTTACCACCAACTTTAATGCTGAGCATTTTTAAGCAGAGGTTTATTGCAGGGATATAGTATATTGTGGTTTTACTCAGAGACAGCATTTAACTAATGAGGTCAATTGTCTCTGTTAATAGAGGATGCGTTAAGGTAAAGAGAATAGCTAAGTAAGCACCAAAAAATCTTGGATTTCTCCAGATAACAAGTGGATGAATTGTAAAATGAGGACCATGTTAAGAACAGGGTTCAACTTCTCTGTCCTGCCCTCAGCACCTAAGTAGCAGAATATAGGATCAGCTGAATGGCAAGCTGAATGGTAAGTTAGGTTTCATGTTTTTTTTCGGTTTGGCTTGGTTTGTTTGTTTTTGTTTTTTGCTAGTTTTTCTCCTGGAAAGACATTTTTGAAACCTGTTATATGTAAATCCAACATAGGAATTGCCTTAGAATGGCCACTAAATAACAGGCTTAGAGATTTAACCATGTGTTAGGGCAGCTGCTGATGTATGCACACATGCATTGATGCAACTTAAGTAAAAACAGACCTGTGTTATGAGTATACATAGA